CGCCGCGCCCGCGCCCTCTCCTGGCACTGCCACTGCCGCCTCGCCGGCCCCGCGCCGGGGAAGAGATCGGCGCGAAGGAGGGAGGGAGCAGCCGGGAAAAGAGAGAAAAAGCGTTCCTCAGAATGGAGAGTCACGTTTGAACGAAACGTTTTTTAAAAGGGAAAAAGACTCGGACAGGTGCTATTGAAAATAAGATCTATTCTCTATTCACAGTCTAAGGGACGAAACTGCGAACTCCTTAAAGCTCTATCTAGCCAAACCGCATACGACCTTGTATATATTTAATTTCAGGTAAGGAAAAGAAATATGTGTAGCGATCTCTATTTGCTGGACTTTTTATTAATCTCCCTTATTATTATTGTTATAATTATTATAATTATTATAATTATTTTATCCCCCTCCTCCGCCACGCTGCCCCCGGCCCAGTTTCGTTTTCGTTGCCTTTTCCTTTGAATGTTACTGCTTCTCGGGTGCCTCCCGCCCCGCATCGCTGGCCCTTGTTTCTCTGGGACTTTTCTTTGTGTGCGTGAGAGTATGTTTCCTCCTGTGTCTGCCCTTCCCCACCTCCGGAGTCCCTTCTGTCGGTCTGTCTGTCTTGCCTTCCCCCCTTTCGTTTTGCGGAGACTTGTTGACAAATACGACCCCACAGACTGCGAGACTGAACCGCCGCTACAAGCCAAAGATTTTATTATGTTCAGAAACCTGTAGTCTGAAATAAAGTGTACACTGTGCTCACGAGCCACTGGCGGCCCTTCTCTTTGCGGGCTCGGGAAGGGACGCCGGCGCAGGGTCCGCAACGGGCGCCCCTGTACACACCGCAAACGCACCGGCCCGGGAACCCTGGGTGCCAGGCCGCACCTCACGATCACCGCACCGGGAATACCGCGGGCCAGGAAGAGTGAGGTGATAAAGGCTGCCAGATTCGGATCTGGTCTGGATCTGGAGGGCCTGGCGGCAGGACACTCCAGGTCTCCGATGGCGTTCAAAGAAGCCCAGAGGCCAGAATACTGCCTTGGCGATGAGGCTCCTCCAGGCCCTGGTCAGCCCGCGTTCACCACCTCCTTCATTCAACCTGATGCCTATTCAGCTTGAGCTTTTCTTGTTCTTTCTTTCTTGCTGCGCGTTTTCGAGAGGGTTTTCTCTTGGAGAAGCAGAAGGCCTTCCCAGGGCGGGGCAGAACTGAGGGACTGCCTCCCTTTCTCAGCTGCCAGCCTCCTCGGAGGGGCACCCCGCCAGGCCTCTTGTGGCCTAGACTGTAACCAGTCTTCACTTGGGGAAGTGAAGCTGTTGGTGAAGTGGCCGATCCCTGCGGCACAAGGGACCGGAGGGCTCAGATCGTATGGCCCCTCACGGTCCACGAAAATGGGGCAGGGATGCTGGAGCCATGCAGAGCCTGCAATAGCCCCCTCATTGGAGCTGCTGGGATGGCTCTGGGCCCCAACCTGGGCACAGGCTTGCCTCCAACCACTCCCCACCCCCCCAAAAAAAAAACCAAGCAGGGGTCACTTAGGAATCAAACAAAACCTGGCTTGCTCCCTGACCCAGCAAGGTGCAGACACAAGCCCCCAGTACCTTCAGGACACCTGGTCTTCCCAGGAGGAAAATGTCTAGACTTTTACCCTTGACCTAGGGCCCATCCTTCCCAGTCGGGGGCTGGGACACCCACTTAAAGGATTAGGAGGAAGGGGAGGTGCCTCCTTCGGAGGCATCAAATCCCTTTGTCCAGGATTTTTCTAATGGTAAATTTGTCTCTTCTTTTTCCTTCTTTCTTCTATAATAGCTAGGCCCATACCTGTATTGTTAAATATGTAGGTGCCCCTTTAAACTTGTGTGCATATGAAATAATGTACAGATAGGGATGCATCTGTACCTGCCCAGTTTGTGTATTCTTGCATGTGTGAATTTATGGTGCGACTGGACATTCATTTCTTTGTAATTAGATGTGCACTTGGAGTTCACAGAGTGTGTATATGTGTTCATTTGTCTTTTCACACTGGAATGCTTGCAGGTATGTTTGTGGGGTTTGTACACACAAGGAAACTGTTTCTGTGTTCTTCCCTTGGATTTTTTTTCCCAGGATTTTTTTTTTTCAGGATTGATTTTGTGGGACATGAGAATGGCCAGTCATTCTGCCTTTTTGCTTGAAAAACTTCCCCTCTGATTTGTGCACAGTGATATTTCTGGGCTCCAAGTTTAGGAAGCCAAAAAACCCTCCAACTCCTTGCTCAAGAGTTTGGAGACTTGGGGTTCAGTGGCCGGGAGGGGCAGAGCTCATTTAATATTGCCATGGATTCGCAAATTTATTGCAGTAAATCTCTTTCTTCTATCCATTTCGTACTTTCTTGATGTGTGTGAAGTAACTTCTGTATATAATAGGCAGGCATTCAATTCTTATCTGAAAAATTGAAATTAATGAGATGGGCCCTTTTCTGAAACAGTTGTTTTCTGGGGTTTGGAAGGTAGTCAGGGGCACCTTTGGAGAACAGGAGACCCTGAAATTTTCAAGCTTTCCAGGTTTTTGAGCTGTAGGTTCTGAGATGTAGGACACAACATTGAGTTTAGAACATGAAGAAATAGTCTAGCCAAGTCTGGATGTGATGGTGGGAATGCCCAGTTCTATAGAAAAAGTGACCATTTTGAATGTCTGGAAACTGGGCTACCCTTCCTTCTCCCTGCTTTGTTGTGACCCCTTAGAGTTCCTGTGTTCTTTAGGGTGAAAGACTGCCCTGACTGGGGCAGGAACCAGTCTGGGATCACCTTTTCCTTAAGGATCTTCCTCACCTCTTTCAAGAAATCAAAGCAAGTGATCTTCCCAGTCACCCTGGGGGAGAAGGAGGAGGAGGGTACCCCTCTCCATGATTGTATTAGTACAGTGTATAGATGTGTCATTATTATGTAATTTGATTTCTTGCCCATTATCTCTTTTATCTTCCAATTACTATGGGCAAATAGAATTTTCTTCATTGTTCAGTGGAGGAAACTGAAGCACTGAGAATGTAAATAGTTGGTCATGTGCCTTTCTGTATATCATATTTGCTGGGTACAACTGTCTCTCTACTTCAGGAATCTGACCCATACCCTGAAGTGATCATCTTGACTTCTCTCCCTCCTCCATCTCTATTTTCCTTCTTCCTGATTGGGGCAGAGGAGGGGGAGGAGAGCTCTGGTTAGGCTAGTCTTCCTTCTTGCACCCCCACTGAAAAAGGAAGTAATAATAATAATAAACAGGCATTGATTTCTTTGATTTATGGGGCTGGCTTAGTGAGCCGCCTGTGTATTAAAGTCTGGGCTGCACTGAAATAAATAGTGGAGTGTATATCCCAACTTCGTTATTTCCTACTTTTTTTTTTTTTTTAAAGATTAGATTGAACCATAAACTTAAATCTTCCACAGCCCAGGAGGAAATACACACTAGCCGAGTCTAAACAGTATTGATCCCTAGCTCTTTCTGAGGGCAAAGGTCTCTGTTTTCTTGCTGGAAATTCCCTTTCCTTTAGTAGGGTCAGGGAGAGGAGGGATATTTGGGTCTGTAGACCGCTATGCTGTGTTTGTGTGAGCTTGAATTTTATGGGTTGTATTGTACTATATAGGGGTAGTATTGTACTATATTTATTTAGACATGGAGGTAGAAGTATGTGTTTTGGGAGTATGGGTGCTAAGAGTTGTTTGGTATTTGTGGATATGTGTTTATACTCAGTTCTCTGGACCCCACCAGGTGAGGCTGCCCAGAAAAGAAGTGGTCAGCTACCTTACGTGGACCCCATAGCTCTGTCACCTGTGGCAAGGCTTCCATAAATGATATCAGGGAGGCCACTGTGCCCCAGACTCCCCTTCCCCCACCCCCTACAATGTCTGGGTAACAAAGACCTAGCAGTACCGCAGGCAGCGGTGAGTCTTCACCGAGGAGAGATTAAGGCCAAGGTCAGACTCCTTGCCCTGGAGAAAGGGGTCCCATGGGTTCTCTGGGGCAGCAATAAGTTCCTCCAGGGTTCATTCTAGCTTTTCCAGTCGACGTTGGAGAAAAGCCTTTTCTCTGGGAATATAGGCAACCCCCATTCCTTTCTTTCAATATTGCATACACAGGAAGCAGGCTGGGAGGGCCAGAGAGATCCTGCAGCAGTAACTTTCTCCGCGGTCCTCCCCACCCCCCATTGCCTCCTATAGCTAGGATCCATTTAATCTGGATTTGTCACCAGGGATTCAAATTGGAGAAGGTTCACTCCATCTGGGGGAGGCAGCAGACTATAGCTCCACCCCTCCTCTGGGGCTCCAGAGCTCCAGAGACTTCAGTTCTTTTTTTTTCCACTTTGAACTCAGGTGAGAAGATTACTCTTGTGTGATACTTTGAGGAAAGGGGCAGCCTTGGGAATCTTCTAGTACTGCTCCTCCCCAAATGTGTTAGGCCAGTCTTTCTACCAACCCCATTGTTCAAGGGGGTCCGCCGAGATTCTTTCATTAAAAAAAGATTCATTTCACAAGCGGAGTGGGAGTCCGGAGAGGAAATGCCTCACTCTAAAGCAGCATCGAGTGAGAAACAACACCCCCCATTTCCCCAGCGGCCAATGTTCTTCCCAGTGTGCCACTGAGAGAATTGTGTCAATGCACACCCCTCAGCACATAAATATCCTGTGCATATTCAAGTGTACAAACACACACACACCGAAGTGGGTACATGCACACACATGTGATAGACATGCAGATATGTAAATATGAATGGGCTGATGCATAGAGGTGAGTTCCCACAAGCGTATTGACATGATCTGTGTAAAAGTTTGGGCACATATGTATTCATGACAGAATATAACGACTGATGTCCAATACACACCTGCATGGCCAGTTGGTGTGCTTTGCTCCTAACCA